GTTAAGTTCTTTTTTTCATAATATTTTGTATATCTTTGATGATATTTTCATTTTGTTCATGTAACATTTTCTGAAACTCATTGAGCATCTTTATGATGGGGTTTTTTTGAATTCTTTGTTATGTGATTCATATACTTTTGTTTCTTTAGGGTTGATTCATGTTTTTACTTTGGTTGGGCCATGATTCCCTGTTTCTTTGTGTGCGTTATTACTTTACGTTGGGATCTGTGCATTTTAAAAAACAGCCAAGTCTCCCAGGCTTTAAAAACTGGCTTCATACAGAGAAAAGAACTTTGACAATCAGCCCTAGAGATTCCAAGGGCCTCTCAAACCTTTTATATGGGTGGATCTTCTCTGTAGTTGCATTTGTAAATTCCCAATTAGAGATGTTTTGCTGGTTTCCTTTTTCTGGAGCTCATAGTATCTTGCTCCCTCTGGTGTCCACCTGTAGTACTGCAGGTTCTTTGAAACGTATAAGGTACCCAGCTTTTTGTTTTCAGTGGTGCCTCTGTGTCTACAGTATGCTGGGTCCCATCAGTGCTTCTAGTCTGGTGAGGCAGAAAGCAGTCCCTTAGTCAATCCTCCCAAAAGCTGAAAAGTTGGGTATATGCTCCACTATTCCCTTCCTTGCTTTAGGGAGAGACTGACAAGCTGTATAGGCCTGTGTCTGGTGTACCATAAGCCCTCTGGAACAATAATAAGCCACTCAGCTCTTTTGTATTCTTAGCAGTCCTCAGGGATCTAGAGTATGCCAGGTCCTGTCAATGCTCCAAGACAGACAAGACAGAAACTATTCCCTCAGGCAGCTCCTCACACAGCTGGAATGTTGGACACATGATCCAACTCTTTCCCTCCCCAAGGAGACGACAAGAGTTGGAAGTTTTTCCCACTCATTCTATGCTGAGGTGGGGAAAGGAAATGGCAAGTGAGTGAGTACGTGCTAGTTCCGACCATTCTCCTTGTTGTGAGTAGCCCTCAACCTAGTGCCATTTCCTGTCAGCATTTCAATCCAGACAAGACAGAAACTAGTTCCTTGGGTAGCACTCCCCAAAAGTCTGGGTGTTAGAAGTATGCCCCAGTCTTCTCTTTCCCTCCCTAGGGGGAAGCCAGGAGTAGAAAGTCTTCTCCCAATCATGCCACCTTGTGCCAACAGGAGACACTCCGGCAAGTGAGTGTCATGAATTTTCCTACCATCTTTGACGTGGCTGGTTTTAAATTCACATGTGATACAGGAGCCTCTTAACTGGTTTCTCAATTTCTTACAAAAGGACTTAGTCAGTGTACTGTTAAATTTGTGTGTCTGTGGAAAAAGGAGTGTCTTGGGGCTTCCTATTCTACAACCTTGTTGATATACCCAATGTAAATTCTTAAAGCAATTTTAAAGCATTTATTTGTAAGCAAATATCATTTTATCATTTGACTTTGACTGTAAAAATAATTGAACCATATAGAAAGCTGATTTCTTTAAAGTGCTAAGCATACTGAATCAATGTTGTTTCTTTTTAGCTATAAAGCCTTTTCTTTTTCCTGTTCGCTTTCATATGCTGGAAAGAAGCTGTGCCAAGTGAGAAACTACAAAAATAT